TATTATAATAGTTAGTATATGTACTGTAAATGTAGTTTAAGAAAAATCTATCTAACGATTTTAACCCTTTGGTAACATATTAAACAACTATGTGAAATACTAGAAAAATCATATGGGTTTCTGTAGATGGTGGTATAATAATCTCTAAGATCAGACAAAAATTACCCAGACTGGCAATTTAACAGCTCCAGAGCGCAATGGTTAGGCATTTGGTTTTGGTGCTGCAGGGCTGTGTTGTGCTGGTGTAAGTTCAAATCCTGCATGGAAGAATTTTTTTAGGGCTTACAAATTGTTCCTGCTCTGGGAGATGTCTATGTACTTGATACGGAAGAATTTAGTCCTCACGGGTGACAACGCATCTGCATTTTGATTCGTAATCGAGGATAGATGTAGATGTCTATGGGCTACACTAACCACTTATCATCAGGTGGACTGTGCTTGTTTGTCACCTTATCCTAAAAAAAAATTGTACTGTTTATCCTATCAGAATGATTCTTACATAATTAAAAAGCTGTTTGGATTCATTACCTAGTGTATATAAATTCCCGTTTTGCTTACAATTTGCGAAGTTAGTGGCGCTTAGTAAAAAAAATTAAAAAATCACGAACGGGAAAAATCGAACAACCGACAACTGACTCTTTATGTAAGAACCAGAAAAAAGTTGTGACCAGGTATTTTTAAAGAATTTGAACATGGATGACACACTTACATAATAAAAAAATATTTTTATGATCAAGCAAGAGTTACCACTTTATGATTGTTTTATTTTTATCTGGGATATTTACCAGAGGACAAATTAAAATAAAGATAATAATTCAATGAGGATATTAAGTTTAACAAAAAAGATTTGGTTATTAAAAATCAATACAAATATCGTCAGAGATCTTCGGTTTTATTAAAAAAAAATTTTTTTTAACGCTAATCACATAAAATTATTTAACAAACTATAAACTTTTTTATACATGAAGAGAGGGCAAACGAGTATACGAGGTGAGTCGACCTGATGGATGATTCCACAAAGAAGTTGTAGCAAGGAAGAAACCTCCTAGTTAATCGCACAGTGGTAGACCACCAAGCATCCAGATGGTACATATGGTATTGTGAGTTTTGTCACGATGTGCTTTGGTAGAATTTGGCGGCTGGACTTAATCAAAAAATTTCCTAAAGTACTCTTTGCAGCGCCAGTGAATCGAACCGATCAGAAAGAACTCGATCATCAACTATTCGAGCCGCTCTTTGCTGGATGCAGTCAAGTGGAAGGAGCTGGCAATGAGGTGTAACGGCCCAGAGATGAGAATGAATTCCATGTGAGGTTGAACCTGTGTCTTGTAAATTTACAAGCTGTGTGCTGGAATGAAGTACTGTTCTGCTCGCCAAGCTTTATAGAAGCCAATTTAGCCTACCCTACCAGTTGATCGCGGAAATGTACGTCATTAGATAAGTCGACGCCGAGAATAAAGAAGCCCTGAAATTGAAGAGATACAACAAAGGAGTTCTTGTCATCGGTGAACATGCAAACCTGTCTTCAGAGACCTATCAGAGACTTTATTTAACAATAATTCGACTTCAGACACAAGTTTGCTCTGGTAAACGACAACGTGTTCCCGAGAAATATTGGTACGGCAGGTGTAAATATATCACCTGTGCTTTCATCCGTATATTAATGAATGTTACTGGTTTGCAACATAGAATTGATTTGCAAAATAAACAGTGGAGGTGTTAGCACGCAGCCTTGTGGACCTCTATGCTCCGATCTTCAAGAGAACTGGTGATCAAGTACAATTTTTTGGGAAGCCCATACGAACGAAGCTTCGAAAGAATCGCTTTGGGCCAAACCCGATCGAAGGCCTTCAATATGTCCAAACCAACAGCCAAGATCTTCCTCTAGGACTCTGATGCACCCATCATCTTGAAGTCAGGTACACTAGACGATCACCAGCTGAATGACTTCATGAAAACAGTATTGACGGTTATAATAGTTTCCATGGTTTTGGAGTACAAGGAGGTATAAATCGACTAAATAAGCTTGTAGTTGAACGGGTCTGAACTGTCGCCATTTTTAGGTCCTGGGTACACCAAAGCTGTCGCTCATGAATTCGGAACTACGCTTACGCCTACTAGGAGCACCGGAGAAGACGCGTTAGAACCGGTGCCCACTCTGGAGCATATGTCTTCAGCACAATATGAGGAACTCCATCGCTCGACTTGTTGACATACGGGGAGAAGTGCTTTGCGCACTGAGCACTGATTTTTTTTTGAAGGTACTGGAAGCGAAATTATACTTCGTGTCTTCTTGGTGTTTACATCCCGCAACATCGATGCTCAGCCCAGGCTTGGTAGCACTCCTGATTATGGCGTGATGCAATTTCATAGGAGCTATCAAACCATAGTTGGGATCTACTTCGGCGGGCACTACAAATGATAGAAAAAAGGTCCATTCCTTGAAGTTTCACATCAGTGACAAAATCAGCAACAACGTTGTAATAATCTGGCCAGAAGCAACTTTGAAATACTTTAAAATAATCAAATATTTTTCTTAAAATTACACGACTTTATAATGTTCAGAAACATTTTGTATGGGTTAGGTGACCTACAAAGAAAACTAAAATTGTGCAATCATCAAAATAAAAGTTCATTATATTATGATCTTTAATAATAACTAACCATTGGTATATTATCTTTTACCAAGGTACTCAGAACTAATACCTACATTAATTAAAGCTAGGTCTATTCATGATTCTAAAATATAGATTAATATTCACTAAGCACCAGCTTGCAGCGCAGTGATTCAATTTTTCACCACCACTCCAATAAATCATAGCCTAGTTACACGACAGTTTAAGATCAACGTGAAAGACTCAACTGACGTTTTATTACATAAATATTCCCGAAACAGATATCTTAATGCAGAAAAAATATTAGAAAACGGCAGATCACTCATCTAAGCAACAAAATTACAGAAAGGAAAAATATCACTTAACTTTTAGTTAATCAGACCTGGTAAAAAATATCTAAATGCCAAATAGCTAATATTAAAGACAGGTAAAAAGGTTAGAGGCTACAAAAAATTAAATTTTTAGATCCAAATATATTGTTAGTTTTTCGTGAGTTCGGGAAAAACTAACTAAAGACAACAAGAAAATAGTTTATCCCAAAAATAGGATAAATTTCTAAGTAGAAATACGGTATATTAAAATTGTCCTAAACGAAATATTTTTTAAAATGACGAAAATTTTCCTTGGTTGGTCGCCGAAAACTTAATTACTAAGTTAATTAATAACTAAAACTAATTACTAAAAACTAACATTAAATTCATCGTAGGAGCATGAAAATCTGATTCCAATGATATATTTATATAACTCAATGTCGACCAAAGTGTCGCTTGGTAATTTTTTCCTTTCCAGCGTCGATGTGATTGTTAGGTTTAAGGGTAAGAAAAAAGAAGATATATAACCTCCTCAGATAAAGTATGAGACAGCAGATGAGTCTTCATGAATAACCCTTCTTTTGATTTTAGTCGCAACGCTTTATGCAACCCTTACTTGACAGTTATTGGGCAACCTTTACTTGATGGTTATTGGAAAATCATTCTAAATGTTATTCCAGGATAAAAACAATACTCATGCCAAGTTTCATCATGGGCACAAAGGCACATCCATCTTTTATTAAGAATCAAAAAGGAATGTGTGTTATCTACACTCACCATATTATGATGCACAGCAGCAATAAGCAGCTATTTTATGCTAGTTTGATCTTAAAAATTTATTAATAAAATGTTGGTTTTACATTACTTACAGGATAGTGATTCAAAAGGATTTGAAAAGTGTTATCAACAGGCAGTGAGGTGTTCCAAAGGATTCTTAGATCAGTTAGTTGCAGGAAAAGTATAATAGTACATATTGTATATATTATACAGCAATAAAAATAGTAACATTTAGAAATATTTATTAAAATACTGAGAATATCTAAATCTTTTTATTTTCACTTTCAGTAATATTCAATCATTTTTACTAAGCTATCTGTATAATCTATTGCATGATTACTACTCAGCATAGTCTACGCCTATAATTTTTTATTGGAAATTTAATTTTAGTTAACATTGTGATAATTAATCTTTTTTAAGATGTAGATTACTCTTTCAATATAGGGTCAGTATAGTATGTATCACATAGTTATCATGACTGACATAAAACATCACTGTGACAACATGCGCTATAGATATAATAAGCAAAAAAAGTGGTGATGTAAACAGTGATTACAAAAAAAGGTAAGGTATACACCTGAATTAAATAAAGGAAATATGGTTAATTAATAATTTTTCATTCATTGTAGCCCATTAAAAATCAATCCCTGAACATAGACCTCCCTCTTACTTATAAGGGAATATTTCATAATTCCCACTTGGCAGGCAGGTTACTTACCGGAGTTTTTTAAGTTGATATCAGGAAGATGCTGTTATTTATCTTCTGTTTCAGTTTCCCTGTGTCACCTTTAACAATACCCATGGGATGTTACGGGGTAGTGGTTTCTTTTACCCTGCCACTGCACTGTTAAATGGATATTTGTGTTTACTTTCTTAATAACATCTTTCATTTTTAAGTCTTTCCTTTAAATAATATAATAATAAACATTAATTATACAGTAGTACACCATGAGCGAGGGCTCAGTCTGATGGACTGAAGTGATGGGAAATTCAACATATAACTTCCATTTGATTAGATTTAAGTAAAATATTATAAAACTGAATAATATATAAATAAGTTACAGCCTTGAAATATTCCAATGCTGGACTGGATCTTTCATTTGTGAGAAGATTAACCAACTAATTTTGGCTCACCTGGTATTTTGTACCCAGGACATGATTAACAGTCATACTCACTACATTTCATCTCATTTCAACAGTCACACAACCACTAGACCAACAAAACAGTTATTTGGTTTGTTAATTAGTAGTAAAACGATAAACAAAATAATAAAACATGCTTTTAATCCTTAATTCATCACTTTACATTAATTCTGTAATTGCATTTTTTATTTAAATCTATATTATTATCCTTTTCTTTTTTGCATTGATTAAATGTATACACATCTTCATTAACAAGACAACTCCTAAGAAATTTATATTGTGACTGCATGTCTTTACACATCAAAAAGTTAACAAACCAAAGTAATGTGTTGTCTGCAATTTTATTTTCCAAACTTTTTAAGCAGTATACATCAAGTTTATTTAGCAGTCCTTTTTTTAAACCTACATTACATTTATTATGAAGGAACACATTTTTTGTATTATTATTTGGTACCATATCAGGCACATTTAAATTTTTATCACCGATGTTTTTGTTATATATCCAATCAAATTTAATAATGTCAAATCTGTTATCATTCAAATAAGCAGGAATGTCAGGAGGTTCAATAAAAGCATCTGAAAATAAAATAAAAGAGCATAATAATTGATGTGGGTAATAAATATTAGTTTAGTAACTCGATAACTGTAGGTATAAAACAGTTGGAAGATTTCTGTAACTATTGTAAAACAAAAATTACATATTCCGAAGTTTTGGCCAGACTTACCTGGAAATTCATCGTCACTTTCCAATAATTCCTCATACTTTTTTGTGTTTCTTTGAGTAGTCATATTTTCGCCGTAGAAGTAAAGTTTTTTAATGTTACTCCGAAGTCGAGACTCTTGCTAAAGAGTAAGTGGTATATTCCGTGTCCTAGTGGGTTCCAAAATCCAAATCACATTATAAGAGGCGGTGTGTTCCTTCCTAAAAATAAATGTAGGTAATAGTCACAAACTAATAAGAGTACGTAGTAGGAGTGGTCGTTACAAAACGTAACTAGTTACTGAAACTATCTATTCACACAATAGCGGGTAGCGGGTTATTGCAGTGCAACGAAACTATCTATTACAGTAGACGTTTTACTCAGTAACACGATTCATGTTTCACGAATCACGAACGAGCGATCGGCGTACGATCGGCGGCGAAAACGTTTATTCGGCTATTTTCGCGACGCATCGGCAACGGCCTCGTCTGTTGAAGTAGAAGCACATGAGTAAAGAAACTGACTCTTTCCGCTGTGGTAGAAGTACCACCGGTCGTCGAATGTCGAGTGAGCGCGGGTGCTTTTGCATTTGACCTATGACTCTATTCCCTTCGTATAGATGCGATATTAGAAATGAGAAGTAAGTGTGAAAAAAAATTGTTCAAATTCCATAATTTAAGTGACCTTGGCCCGGTTTAAATTAGTCTTGTATTTAAGTTTAATGACACGGTTTGTTTTTACTTTTTAGGCGCGTTTGTTAATATTTTTGTTTTCTTTTTTGTGCAATAATAATAATATTTTTAGTAAAATAAGAACTAAATACAATTGTATATATTAGGGTTAATAATAATAATTGTACAGTAATTAGTGTAATTAACTAAGTGTAAAAATAATACTAAAACTTTATGTGATAGTCATCAAAAATATCTCGAAGTAATGCCAGTGTACTTTGGGACTTTTTTACAAAAGATACTACAACCATGAAGACCAATATTCTATAAAAACATCAATACATGTATTAATTTGATTTATTACATAAAAATGTAGGCTTGAGATGTCTAAAAATAAGCATTGTAATAATTATTTGCTATAAAATCAAACTTATATTCAATATTTTATGCTGAACTTGTGGGTGAATTTATCATAATCATAATTATTAAATAAATCGTTTGCCGTTAAATATTTTCAAGTGATATTTTTATCAAACCGTGCGAAATGATTAAACAAATAAATAAATTTAACCGTTAACACCATGTCTAATTCTATACAAAACGGTAACAAACAAGTTTTCTCGTGAAACAGACATCGTTTAATTCGCAACGTTTTTCAAATAAACACGTCGTGAAACAGTCTATTGAAGCCGCTATTAAAATAGTGTTTCAAAACCCTCTATTAAAATAGAGTGTTTCAAAAGCCGCTATTGATATTCGATAGATAGTTTCGTTTCGTTACTCAAAAAAGCCGCTACTACCCACCGCTAGTACGTAGTAGTGGTTTTTATTTTGGGTATGTTCCGAAATACAACGCAGTGTACTGTCCAATGCAAATGACGTCATGAATCGACGCCGCGCTCTAGTATATAGCAGTAATCTATGATCGACGCTATACTGGTGATTCGTTCCAAAACATTGGACAGTGTATGACGTCATACTTTTGCGCCATTTGGAAACGTGTTGGCGATTATTTTGTCATTTTGTGCTCCAAAAATCATTATATCCTCCTAATGGATATACCATCAATTATTCTATAATTTTTTGTATTTGAATAAATAGAAACAAATTCTGGCATGCTTCATTCGGCATGCAACACACAATTGAAAATTGTTTTATTATGGCCGGATATCCGACATAATATGGCGGCGGCACGCTAGTACAATAAAGTGTCAAATGTAAATGATACGTCATTTGCATTGGACAGTACACTGCGTTGTATTTCGGAACATACCCTTTATAATCTCTTATTAGTTTGTGTTAAGGTAAGTTATAAAAGATAGCTTGATCTATTACTTTCCTCTATGGCTTGATCTCTGCGAGTCTGCGACAGACAGCTGTCAGTAAACATCACGCCCATAGAGTAGAGTAATTATACAGAAAATTACGCCTATGTAGTCCTAAATTTCTTAGTAGTACAGACACTTTGAATATTAAACCAAAGGAGACGGCATCGCAAGACATACCCCTCTGTAAAAGGTACGAGAGTCCGACTCATACTCGTTATATAAAACTAGTTGCTCCGCGTCGTGAGTCATTTCGAAGTGATCGTGCCCGTAAATCAAGCTCCGACAAAATGCCGAATTGCAGTGTATTTACATGAAAAAAAAACAATCAAAAACGTCAAGTATACAAAAGGACAATGTGACTTTTCATTTGTGAGTATTTTTAACATATATTAAAGTAATTTTATCATTAAAACTCGTACTTTGTGAATATTATCGTCCAATACCGAGTGTGGCCATCATAGTTCATAAAGTGAAAAATAATCTATTTTTAAAAAAATATAATTTACTACACAAGTTATATATATTAACGAAAATATATTTTCTAATAACTAAATCAGTTTGTGATGAATAATAATCATTACATATAGATGTGTAGTGGATTTTGTTAAATGATTTATATATTCAGCTCAATTTTAACACGATATCTGGGGGGGGAGAAAAGGCCTGGTTTGCGGGAATGTTTCAATTTTGGGGGGCCCTTCTTCCTACCCTAATACACTGAATATTATATAATTAAATATAATCAATAACTAGTATTTATTAAAATATTATACAAAATACAGGCCAAATAAGTCAAATCGAAACTTGCTACATCGCAGCAAAAGTGTGCAATTTTTATAAAAATAAACTGGTATCACTGCAACAGAAAGTATTGCACTATAGTGATGAACGCCGCAACTTTAGCTATCGATAAGTTAATTAACCATGCGGGTTTGTCTGCCGAACCGGTTTGTAGTTTTTATTTAGATTTTATAATAAAGTATTACAAAAAGTAGTAAATTTTTCTATTATTATATATATATATATATATATATATATATATATATATATATATATATATAGCTTGAATCTTCTGAATAAAATAAAATTATTTATTTTAGGGTGATCGTGGTGAGTGCACAATATCGTCCACATCGAAAAAAGAAAGCTGGATGTTCCGTCAAAATTCCATAAGTTATCTCGAAAGTCACAATTCGAAAAAAAATCCTTATATAGCCCGAACTAGTTCTACTCCCATTGCGAGTACGAGCCAACACTGGAAAATTAGAATGAAAAAATGCCTTGACATAAAAAACAATAGCATAAACAGGCTTCACATCATCATCATCATCATCATTACAGCCCTTCACAAGTCCACTGCTGAACATAGGCCTCCCCCAAGTAATGCCACAAAGCACGGTCCTGAGCCACCTGCATCCATCGACTTCCTGCATGTCTTACCAGGTCGTCACTCCATCTAGTGGGGGGTCGCCCTACACTACGCCTGCCGGTACGAGGCTGCCACTCGAGAACCTTTCTTCTCCATCGGTTATCGGTTCTTCGAGCTATATGGCCGGCCCATTGCCACTTCAGCTTACTAATCCGATGGGCTATGTCGGTCACTCTGGTTTTACTGCGGATATCCTCATTTCTGAGTCTATCACGCAGTGAAACTCCGAGCATAGCCCTCTCCATAGCTCGCTGAGCGACCTTGAGCGTCCTCATACGGCCAGCGGTGAAGGACCACGTCTCAGATCTGTAAGTCATCACTGGCAACACGCACTGGTTATACACTTTAGTTTTCAGAGATTGAGGTGTACCTGAGGTATACCTGACGAGAAGATGTGTCGTAATTTCCCGAACGCTGCCCAGCCGAGTTGAATCCGTTGATTGACCTCTCGGTCGAAGTTGGACTTACCTAGTCGGACTATTTGTCCCAGGTAAACGTACTCGTCAACAACTTCGAGCATAGTGCTCCCAACAACTACCGGCATAGGTGTGACATGGACATTAAACATGATCTTTGTTTTGTCCTTTCTTTCCTTTCTTATCAGGGTTACTCTCTAGTCTAAGTTTTAGAACAGTTAAAGCGTTTTTTTGTGTAGACAAGTCGGCCATAAGGCTTCACAAGTTTGCAAGAAATACTATGCCCTAACACTTAATTATTACTTACCAAAAGCCTGTCGCTATGTACGTAAAACTTTTGGAACATGTTTGCCTGCACACGTACATTGACTAAGTGGTACACTACCATCGATCGCCGACCAGGGCTTACTGAAGAAGCGCTGACGGCATTAAAGTTGAGAGCGGAGAGTAACCCTGATAAATTTTTTGGTAATGGATGAAATGAAAATTAAGCAATTGACAGAATACCATGCTAGTAGCCAAAGGCATTATGTATATAACCAAAATGTCTTTTAGAACTTGCATGGTACTCCGTCAATTGTTTTATTTTCATTTCATCTATCACTAATATACAACATAATTTCTTATCAGGGTTACTCTCTAGTCTAAGTTTTAGAACAGTTAACCCGTTTTTTTGTGTAGACAAGTCGGCCATAAATTGTACTGTATCACTTTGTCATCGTATGTGATGAAGGCAGACCAATTTCAAAACTTTTGATATTTCGCACATATTGTTAAGCTTTCGGTGAATAGTAATGTAAAGATAAAGCAAAACATCTTTCTGGGGAATACTTAGCCCTAGGTAGATGTCACGTTTTATTTTTAAGCAGCTGTCTGCTTAAAGTTCACTTTGTTAAACTATTATATAGTGTAAAACATTTTTGTTTTCCTAGTTTATTAAATATTTTCCAGACAGTTCGTTTAATAACTTGAAAATCAACAACTATTTTTAATTAGCGGTTTTGTGATAACGAAGCTTTATAATAAAAACAAAAACTTGGTTAACACCATCTAAGACGATAAACTGATTGGATATGTGGTGCATGGTTTCTTGATAGCTGCAAGCCTTTGTTCAAAAAGATACGCATATTGCCGATGCCATGCATGTATATTCGAGAAATATGTATTTTTGTAAAGCGACACCCGAACTACTTCAAAACTCACGCTGAATCTCTCGAAAGGCAAACAAGGCATAAAAATAGCTT